GTGTAGAGGGGGGGGGGGGGGAAAAAATAAATTGTGAAACATTCTGATGGTCTTGTGCTTTGTCTGTTACAATCACACTGTAAAATGGAGTTTTAAGTTTTTAAGTTTCAAATTGATGACCCTACAAGTCACTGCAATCCAGTTTAAAAAATACTTGTGCATTAAAAATTAAATTAGAAGACCCACAAAATGTCAACACATTGAATTGTTGACATTAATACCATAAATCCAGTGTGGTAAGCAATTATAGGTGAGAAACATAAATAGAGCCATCCTTTCACAGGTAAGAATTGCTAATATAAATGTAAAGGTATGCCCACTGCAGTGACTGTAGATCACACCCCCAATTCTTCCCACACGTCCAGCTCCCAGACGGCTCTCACTTCTAGCAGAGGCAATGCCATTCCCTGACAAGCCAGCAGTGAAAATGAAAATGTCTACTAGAAAATGCACAACCACATTTAAGAGGGTATTTCCTTCTTTTCTCAACCTCCTTTAAAACCATCATATCCACATTTGCTACTCCTACTTCAGTCTCAGCTGAACAGGAAACAGACAGCACCTAGTGAGTAGATCCAGGCCTTGAAGAGACTGGAAATGGTCACACACATCTACTTCTCCACCCTGCTACCTCCTTCAGCCTCCCTCCCCTACATTTCTTGTTTCTGTCCCTCCAACTCCTACGACTGTGCCAGTGCCCTAATCCTTTCCTTCTCAGCCTGTCTTTTGTGTTCACCCTCTTGCCCTTGCAGCTCCCACTAGCCTTCTCTGCACCCACAGCCACCAAACGCGCCACTCGCCACACTGCACTGCTCCCACCCTGAGCTGTTCTGCACCAGCAGCAGTGAGAGAGACGCTGGGCACCAGGCAGACACGGGGAGAGCTCTGTGTCATGCCAGGGGAGGGACGCGGCCAAAACCAGCAGAACAGAGGCATGTCTCCTTTTGAGGCAGTGATCTCAGTTAGTATGAGACAGATAACAGGCAGGAGAGGAAACCAGCACAGCCTGAGGCACTGCTGTGCCCACCTGGAGCAGTATGTGCAGTATACAAAACAGTCCCTCAGAGCACAGTGCTGGCTATGGTGAAGGGAAGGAACAGACGAGGGTTGCTCCACAACCGACAAGGTAGGCCTGGGGGAGTGCTGGTGATGTATGAATACTGCTGAGGTGTATTTTTATACAGCCTAACAGCTGTATTTAAAGCCCAGTTTGGTACATAATAAAGTTTAGTTTCCCAACCTGGAAATAAAAAGTTGATTGTATCTTCAAGTAACTCAAAACAATGCTAAACCTGCTGATGACAATAGCATGATTGCAGGTACTAAACAGGCCAATATCTAGATCAGCAGTGTTTTACCAATCCTTAGATCAATCCAGTTTTGACAGCACAACAAGACAGCAAGAAAATGGGAAAACATCACCTCCATAGCTCAGCAACCTAAGTGAGAAGATCAACAGAGACTTTACATTCATACATAGGTATCTTCTCTCCAGGAAGAGGTCAAATCCCATTTAGACACCCCGCATTTGGACACATCACTAAGGTTCTGCTCATCTGAAGATCCAGCTCTAAATCAGTTGAAAATCTGATGCTGTCCTCCCTGGATAAGGACTCTTCCAAGCAAAGCCACATTCTGGCCAATAGTCATTTGAGGGCTTACAGCTTCCGTGGCAGTTACTGGGTAAATTCTTCTAAATACCCAGCCATCCCACCAGAAAAGCTTGCAATGATATATACATGAGTTTTATCATATAAACAGGTTGTACTAATCCACTGAAGGTACAAGATCTTTGAAGGTGCCACCTCCTTGCTAGGTGCTACGTTATTTCCATTCGACCCCTTTCTTACTCATTTGGGTATTTGTGATAAATTTTGCAAGCTGTTTGTGAACTGTACCATGAGTAAGAAGAGCTGATATATCTCCTGCAATTTCTCAGCACATTTTCACATCACTGACCAATGCTTTTTTTTGGATCTAGAGGCATGTACTTTCCAGGCTGGTGTCTAGAGGCATAGGGAGGATCACACCTGACAGAAATATGGACTGATTCAAACAAACCACAGGAAGTAATGTCAGCGATCCCCAAAAGGAAGCAGAGCTTCCAGCCAGCCAAAGTATTAATATCAGCCAGGGAAACAGATCCAGGAAGTCTGGACCACAGTCAGATCATGTCATGCTGAAGGAAAATAAGTCCCAGCCTCTGGCATCTGACAGTTTGGTTTTTGCTTTTCAACTGGCCAGTAAGAGAGCTAGCAGTGTCCAAACTTGTGACTAGAAATACAGGAACAGCAGCCTCAACATATCAAGTGATATTAAGCCAAAAACCATTGGCTGCTCTTTCTGTTTTCACACCAGATTCTTGAGAGGTTCTGCAAAACTGGCTTACATGTTATTTTGGAGAAAAAATATCTGCAATTTTTTTATGCAGTCAAAATTTTAGTAGGGGATTACTTCTATCAGTGCTCTTGTCCTTACTTTTTAACATCAGCAGTGGGTCACATATATACATTCCTCTTCAACCAGATAATTTATCCAGACATGGAACATCCAGAACAGATTCATCACTATATAAAATCAGCTGCTTAATTAGGAAAACCTTCCCACCTCAAAGTTCTTGCTGATGCACTTTAGAGTGGAAGACATAACAGTACTTTACAAGAAACCCATATTTTTACCATACTTCTCTTAAGTAATACTCTGCTATTTGGAGGGCATAGAACAGAGTTGGTTTTATTTTCCCACATTACTGGGGCTAACTTGATTATGACCCTTACAATTACATATTTAGCCACTTCAGTCTAGTAAGTTTTACCTTTCAGTTACTGAGCTTTATAAAGAGAAAAAAAGCAGCAAGTTATGTACATTGACTGTGAAGGCAGGTTAACAAGTCCTGTAAAAGGAAACTTGGTAACCTGCACAACAGGTTGAAATTTACTGAGACAGTCAGCTGTGTCTCTATTCAGCATACTTAGGGATTGCTGGAATTACCAGGTTTATTCGCTAGCTTTTTGGTGCCATGATGTCAGCAACTACTCCCCAACACAAGTCTCATCCTCAAAAAAAAAAAAGTTCTCTCGTATGGATAAATGATTGAACCTTGATGCAAGACTCGAGATTAGAATTTCCCTAGAAAAATAAGCATTCCTGATAAGCTACTACTCTTACATGCAGAATTTGGGCTGGTATTTGTAAGCTGTGGCAACTGTGCCCTCCTCTTATTAAGTAATTGAAGGAGCTTAAAAACAGAAACCATCCATATAAACACCAATTTTTAAAGTAAAATGTGAGGTCCAAACATTCAAACAGAAGGCAAGTTCCTCTGCTTAGATGAAATACGTGGTTGCAGTTGAAGAACAGAGCAAGTTGCAATGGACTTCAAGCCTATCAAAACATGCTTACACTTCCACCCCTACAAAATTACAAGACAGAGTAACTCCTTACATCCTCAGACTCAAAGACATGGCAAATCATTTTGTACTGCCTCTTTCCATCTTGGGAAGGGTGAGATGCTTCCACATTATCCTGGGAGTTAGACCGTGGCATTCGCCTACGAGCCATCAGAACGACTATGTTGCCTATATCTGCGATGTAAGAAATGGTCCGCAGTGGATGGTCCATCATGGTTTCCTGGGGGACACAAAAAACAACATGAGCAGCCATTTCAACAACGTTCTTATTGCACACCCATTATTATGAAAACAAACCACTGGCAATATAAGATCTTTGTTACGTGAATTCTGTAATAACTGTCAAGCTTCAAGGGAGATGTCAGTAGAAAACAAGAGCTTCACTTTCCAAAAGTAAAGCGAAGAGCAAGTTTTACAAATTGAAGCACACAAAGGCCTCAGCATCTAACCTGAATATGCTGGGCAAAGGACTATGAACTTCAAATTATCACAGTCAAACACTGTGGACTACTCTGGGCACAATCAATACTTGACGCCTCATGGAGTGTAAGAACTGAGCTGACTTCAGTTAGCTAACCCACAAATTCTAATGACTTCCACAGTCAGACACACAAGAGTAACTGTGTGGATGACATGGCTCTTGAGCATGTGTTTCTTACTAGGAAATCCTGGAGGGAAACACAAAAGCCAGCACTTTTTGAAGGACAAATTTTGGAAGGTAGGTGAAAGACTATTTCAGTAACCTATTACCACAATACCAACAAAAGCAATTTTGTCTATACCTGTGTGTCCGCATTCAGTACTTTTATTCTCTGTGTAGAAATGAAGAGGTCCACTTCAGTCGTGGGTTGAGATTCACCTTCTGGAGCCTGCAAATAAATGGTTAGAGTCAAACAAACACACTAGGCAACATCCTTACTAATGCTGTTAGCTCACAAACAGGGGCATACTAAGACACAGTCACCAGAACAGCAATGCAAGATAGAGTATTAGACTGCAGAAGCTAAACACAAAGGTATGGAAACTTTATACATATATGTGAAAGTGAATTGGATATTATCTGAAAAATTATTAACCCCATAAAGCTTCCCTTATACTTTTTTCACTTTTTTTGTGATTCGGTAAAATTATACCTGACTGCAACACAAACCAAAACCATATAAAGATTTAACAAAAATCAAAATTATTCTCCACACTACAAATCCAACATTAAAGAAGGTTTTTCACACAAGCCATAAAAAGGCCTAACAGCATCTCTTGCCTTGGGGAACTTCTATGTGGGCTAAAAATGACTTCCAAGACCAATGCAAAAAACAGTACCACAGGTGGGTACAGCTTCACCAGTTCATAATGCAGTTCTGGTAAGAAGACCTTCACAGTCAGAC